ATTAGAAACCCAGTTTTCCTGTTGTGGTAATCACCTACGGCTAACTGTTTAACAAATCGCTGACAATACTGGACACTAGCTAACATTTCAGACATGGCATCAAACCAGTAACGTTTGCATTAGACTTACAAGCTCTTGGGACAAACCTTTGATGCAGTATTGTTGGCAGTTGTTTGTGCACCGACTGTCAACTTGCGCTACTGTTTATGTTAGCTAACGTTAGCTAACTTTCCTCACGTCACTCAGCTAGCAAAGCATAAAACACCAAAGCATACACGTAACACCCTTATATAAAGGTATGACAGGTGGCTTATTATAAAGTCATAGCGCTGTGCATACCTGTCTAAAAGCCCAGCATTTGTGGAAGCTATTTTGGCCAGTATTAGGTTGGCTTATCTGCTGTATCATAGCGTCAAGCAGGTTAGCTCGCTAGCTAACGTTGCACTTTCTAACGCTGGCTGGAATATAAAGCTCGCTTACCAGTAAACGTCAAATGCCTCCTCTTCTGTGCGTTGTGCTTACACAATGTGTTTCATTGCAAGCGAACAGTTCAATAGATATCCTTACGCTTTTCGATATGGTTACTGTGAAAGGAGACAGAGCCATGCATGGATTTCCATGCCTCCGCCCGCCTCTCCCGTAGCTTCCACTGCAACTCTGGGGAGCGGTCTGCTCAGTCCCAACCCCTGAACGAGCCCCAGCCCAGCCCCGACTGTGACGTTAGGACCTGCCTGTCTGTCTGCCTGCCTGTCTGCCTGTCTGTCTGTCTGTCTGTCTGTCTGTCTATCTGCCTGCATGTCTGTCTGCCTGCTATGTTTGCCTGTCTGCCTGCATTAACTCTCTCTCATACCATACCGTCAACAGTGGTTCACGCGCAGACATTCACGCCCACTAAGACAAAGAGGTCCAAAACACACAGCGGTTTAACATGAGAACACTTGGTAAGCCATTAATGGCATTTATAATATAAAATAGCCACTGATATTGCATGCATTTACCTTCATACAGTCTATTGTTTTTACATACACTGATACACTTACCCTTGATGCTACTTTACCAACATACACACACAGCAGTTTACAGTAGCCTATACTATAATTATGTTATAATGTCAGTTTACTCATTTTATCCTTATTGAACAGAGACGGAATTAGTACTCATATATGTTTACTTACGTAAATCAGTCAGTAGTAATATCACAATAGAAATATCCTGTACAAGCAAAAGTCTATCATTCAAAATGAATGCCAAGTTGTGGCTAGAGTGTTTTGTGGTTATCTTACCGGTGCAGACACAGAGAATTCCCGCCTAAGTTGCAGCTCAAATCTTATTTCAGAAGCTGATCCTATCAATTAGTTTGTGGGCTTTATTTTTTTAGCATTTTTGTGGGTTTTTAGCAAGCTGACATTGGAGAGCTAATAGAATGAGAGGACAGGGCGATGTGGATGGGGATGAGAGATGGGACATATTTGTATGTATACTACTTAGATATACATTTAAGTTTTTGTAGCTACTTAATTGATTATTTCAATGTTCTTATACTTAATACTTATACTCCACATAAAATCAGAGGCACATTTTCACTGTACTCGTTTAACTTTAGTTACTAAACTGCAGATTCAGATTACGATTACAAAATATGATCACAAATACATTTATTATAATATCTAAATATAATACTTTATTGCTCCTTACTTTGGTACAGAGTAGACACTGGGTTCCCCCACAGTATATAAAGTTATTTAAATGATCCACCGAGCAGCTGCTACATAAAACAATATGAACACATTAATGCACTAAATACTTTAAATATACACGTTTTGAATGCAGGACTTTACACTGTGGTATTTCTACTTTTACTTAAGTAACATTTCATATAACTTTTTGGGATAAAGTGCATCAAATGTCCCCAGGATGCCCTTTATTACCTGCTATTGTAAAACCTGAGTCAATCTACTTATAACAGGATGTCACTTTGAAGATGTAAACATTTAATTAAATACAAATTAATGTCTGGATGAATGTGTTAGCATACGTAGAATGAGATTTGTATGGATCAACATATTAAACATACATTTACACATTTTTTCGAATCATCAATGCGATCAATGCCTATTTTAATATACTGTTACTCAGTGATCAAACAGTCAGCAATATTGCAAAGCTTTAATATTTTTATAGCACATATTTGTTTCAATTCACTACCAGGCTTGTATATTTATTCAGTTGAATAACATTTTGTTATTGCGGTCTGTCATTTACTTAAAGTGGCCCTAATATGCTAAGTTTTCATCTTCATATTTGTGTTTTGTGCCTCTACTCTGTGACATTCACATGCTTTAATGTTCAATCGTGTACAATGTGTTGGAGTGCTAGCCAAAAGAAGCACAAGTGTTACAGTCATGTCACTTTGTTTTTGAAGTAAACAAAAGTGTCCCATCGAAACGTTTCAGGAAGGGGGGGGGGGGGGGGGGGCTGTGTCTGGGGGGCTGTGTCTGGGACTGTCTGGCCATTTGCAGACCATTTACATGCACAAAAACCTATATAACACACTCCAGGAAAGGGAAAACCCCAAAAGGCATAGGGAACAGGGCCCCTTTAACAAGAGTCATAATATATATTTCTTCCATTCTTTCTTCTTGTTGTTTTTAACGTTGCAACTTTTTCCAGGTCACAACACAGATTCACATGCAGAGACACAAGACACAAGGTTAAGGTTTAAAGGTATTTGCTAAAGAAACAGGCAGTCATTCAGAGATAGTCTGTCCAAAAGGAGTAAACTCATTCAGACAGGGCGTGTGCAAACATTCAATAACCAAGGTAAAGTCAAGAATCATAGAAATCAAATACTAGGAAATGCTGGAAAGCTATTAAATCACAAAGATAAACAAAGACAATCTGCCAGGGTAACAAGAAAGCAAGGCAGTATTATGTATAAACAGGGAAATTAATTTTAAATTGAGGGGCATGTGAGTAATTAAGTGCAGGGGTGGATATTCAAGGAGAACAGGAACTCTTTTGGCCAGGAACTGATACAACATAATATGCTAGCATTTCAAAAAAAGAAGAAAAAAAAAAATGTTCACACAAATCAGGATGTTACAAATAGCTAGGTATACAAGGGCTGTTTTAAGGTCTTAGAAGTGCAGTGTGAATCATTTAGCTTTGGGCTTCGGTCAACCCCGGGTCAATCATGTGTGTAAAGCCTTTGAATTAACCTAGCACAAGCTGCAGCACTGATGGACTTTAAAAGAGTACAAATGAAAATAGATTAGATCAGATGCTTTTGCCTGATATGTATGAGGTTGGTTGTCTTACTGTCCGTCATAACAATATCATCATTCCTGAGTCTCATGGCCAGGCATGTGAAGATGTTTTTTCCCACACTATTTCTAAACACAACTTCTACTGTATACTCAACATACAATTGTGTACCAATCCACAATACATTTTTACTCCTGAAACAATAGTGTTTAATTAATCCTCTTCTGGTTTGTCTATCTGCTCAAACATCATTTAAAAATAATGTTTGCTGGCAAGAGCTAATTTTTCTAAGAGTGATGTGAAAAGGTTAACAGCCAGTACATGTTCAGCTCAGTGAAATGCTTTGAAATAGCCACTTTAAAGCATTTCCGAGAGGTAAACTGGCTTAACGTGTTATCTCTTGTGCTGCTTGTGTTGCATTCTCTCAGTCATGCTGCCTTTACAGTATAACGTTTACTGAATCTCATTAAGATAATTCATACATTTTTTATAGCATCATTTTTGCGCTGAGTCATTTAATCTTCAATTCGTGCTTAAATATTGTAAGAAATAAAGAGTATGTTGAAATTCCTCAAAAGTGGACCCATTCACAAAAAAGGGGTAAAAATGACCCTCCAGTTCCATGTTGTCTCTGATCTGTTCCAGCTTATCCCAGGCAAACAGCACCTCTCACCACTGCCGCCATGACTAATGCTCCATAACTAACCAAGATTCACAAGCGGACCAAGTGTGTCTTCAAGTTTGAAATTAAATGGCATTTCAGATAAATCATGAGACATTTTTACCACCAAAGAAAACTGAGAAAAACAAAAACAACTTGTAACTTATGCTGCATGACAGGACTAATCATCAGAACTTCTCCATCAACCAAAACAGAGTTTTATAATCCAAACTGAAGCAATTTAAGAACTTCAGTTTGGATATTTAAGTATAAAGAAAGATATCTTTCCATAACCTGCAAACCCCCTAACATTCTAAAATGCTACCAGCATTCGATCCGGTTGAATGTGGAACACTATGACAAAGAGTCACTGAGCTCAAATGTGCTGATCCACTCTTCTACATTCATCTTGAATTCATTGGGACATAGACTTAATGTTATGGGGGTTTAGTACAAATGTGCAAAGTTAACTGTACCACTTTACAATAAGACTACCCTTATAAAGGATTCATAAAGGGTTTATAATTAGGTCATGAATTAGGTTGTAAACACTTTATTAATCATTAAGAACCATTTATAAACCAGTTCTAACATAGGTCAACACGGCTCACTATTTGGCAAGATGACTAAGCCTTATATTGGCTACTTAGCGAGAATCAACTCAGTGAACAACAGATACCAAGGATGCTGGCTGATGAAGAAGACGAGGTAAGCTAGGTAGCCAATATAAGACTTAGCAGTACAGATAAATGTGGGCTCACTATTTGGCAAGCAACCGGTCACAGTTGCCCTGTTTATCTCAGGTCTTATAAAAGCGTATTAATGATTTATAAAGTGTTCACAACCTAATTAATAAATGAATTACAAACTATTGGTAAACCGTTTATAAGGGTAGTCTTATTGTAAAGTGGTACCAAGTTAACACTATTGTGTAAGCATGCTTGTGTAAATATCAGCTGGCTGTCATAGTATTCATTGATCTGAAGTCATGAGTAACCTGCTTTTTAGTGTGAACAGGATTCTATTTTTTTTTTTCTTAAATATTTGATTGGACATTGAAAGATACAGTTAAGCATTTAAGAATACAAACATCCATAGTACCTTTATCTCCAGGACAGAGCACAACGGTTGACATTATTGACTAAAACTTATACCAAAATGAGTCTGCTGACCATTGCATTGTATGCACTGTATGTGATGACATACCTTGTTGTTCAAATAATTATAAAAATGTGAAGATTGGGTAATACTTTTCTGACTTGACTGAAATATTTGTATTGCAACAGAAATAATCCGTTATGGCCTGACACAGACCTCCCTATTGTGACATTGGGTATGTAAACTCTTAGAAATAAAGGTCTTACATGAACAATATAGCATTCTTCAGCTTGTCCCCATTATATAGGAGAACCCTTTTTATGTTCAAGGTTCCACCTTCTAACCTATCAGAGCATAAAAGGGGATATATCTAGAACCATCCGTGAATGTTTTTTACCTTTACCTTACCTTTACACTGTATACAGGTGCTGCCAAAAACCCATGGTGTTTTACTGGGAATCCTTTTATATTATAAGGATTTTATCTAGAACAGTCACAGGGGACCTACACATAACCTTTTTAAAAGGGTTTCACCCATTATCATCCTGTCTTCTGAGAATTCTCGAAGAACCACATTGTAGTGTACTTTAGAGCCCAAAATGATTGAATCCCATAAATGACATATTGTGGTTAGGGTAGTCCGAGCAACCTAAAATTGGTTCTACTTTAACATATCAGCTATTTTCTATGGAAACCATATCCAGTGGCTTTAGTCTTTGATAGGCTACTTTAAGGGCCAGGTTGATGAGGCTACCCAGAACATTCATGGATCACAATCATTATGGGGGTGTGGGCAGGAAGGTTATTTTAACACCCATGCTGTCATCAATCATTCAAGAACTCTTTCTACCAAAAATGGTTACTTGAAGAAAAAGGTTCTTAATTGAACCCTTATTCCTACAAGGGAACCCTTTCTTGATGTTCTCATCAGAAGCAAATGGTTGTAGGTAGAACTTAAACCCTTTTGAAAGCCTTATTTCTTAGATTTTACTAGTCACCATGATTTAAAATGGTTATTGAATAACTGAAGCATTTATCTTTTCTGTCCGGTTTCAAAGTCCAGGTTGATCCCGGACAGCAGCTCTCCTCCACAGGAGCGGTTCAGCAGCTCCTTCAGGGCTTCATTTACGTCGTTGTTGAAGACGGTGGAGAAGCTGCAGTTGGGGTATCTTCCACCCCCTCCATCCATGGGAAATGAACCCATCACCTCCTGCACCCACTTCAGTTCATTGCTGAGCTCTTGACGCAGCGAATCAAAGTTGTTCTGTCTCTCCTGGTAGCGGTTGCTGATTCCGTCGAGGCTGGAGCTGAAGGCCTGCATGTCGTCCTGCAGGCTCCTCTTAAAGGCCTCCACTTTACGGAACTCGTAGCGGATTTGCGAGAGCTCATGGCGCACATCTTCACTCTCCTCCTTATACCAGGCCTCCTTCTCATTGTATATAGAGACCATGGCATCTATGTCTTCCTGCAGGGAGTCATGGGCTGCTGTCAGGCTGACAAATGAGCTCTCCATCTGGTCAATGTCCTCCACCACCTGGGCAAAGCGCTCAAAGTTTACATAGGTGTTGTTGGGTGGCATGCTGGAGTGGGACTTGATAGTGTACTCCCGCAGGCGCTTTGTCTTCAGCTGGCGCCGCTCCCGTTTCTTTGGCTCCTTGGCTTTATTCTCCTCCTTGTGCTCATTGGACTTTAGGGATAAAGAAGGGAGAGTTAGGAACTATGTCCAAAAGAGGGAGGACCAGGCACAAATACAGACAGATAATGCAATAATATGTAATGCAGAGTCAGAAATGTGAATATTCTACACATATTCTACGATTGATGAAAATAGAATGGAAAATAAGCTGGACATACTCTGGGCTGACAAATCAATGATTTAACCTCCTAACCCTAACCAATGTGTAGACTGCAGAGGGCCAAAAGAAAAACGAAAAAATGCAATATTTAGAGCCAAATTGCACTATTTTTGGTCAAATAATGATCGAGGGACAGATTCAAATTCAAAAACTTCGAATTAATCTGTTTTTAAAATATCCCTTTTTGAAGCAAAGAAGGAAAACATATAGCAGCTGATTCTAAACCTTCTACAGGCAGTTTAGATCTAGAAATAAATGTTAAATAAAATATATAATAAATAAAATGTTGATTTAATCTCAAATTCAGGCTCTAATACCTGTAATATAAATTGCAGACAAAAATAAAATATAGAAAGTTCGTTTTCTTTACCTTGATCCATGGGTGATTAAGAGCTTCTTGAATTGTTAATCTTTTCCTGTAAGAGAACATTTGAGTGAAAGTCCAAAAAATGATTATCGTACATATAATCACTGAGTGGCTATTCAATTCAATTCAATCCAATAAACTCATTCATATTATATTTTCTTAATTTAGGGCGATTTGACATTTACACTGGTCCCGAACATCCACCTCCTCAACATGTAGCACTTCATCTGACCTAAGAGTCTTCCTTCTGAATCGATTATAAAGCCAAGACAGAGATTGACTTTCTTTGTACCTCTTATCCTTCTCCAACAACTGGCTGATGAATTTCTTGGCCGGCTCACTGGTGTGACAGAAGAACTCCTCATCAAACTCATAATTTATGGCTGAAATGTTCCTCAGAGTGTCCTGTTTGGTCTCTCCCAGGAAAGGTGAAGCACCACTCAGCCTGGAGCAAAACAAAAGAGCAGAGAGAGAAGTTCATCACCCAGTTTGACGGTAGCTGCAGTAGAAGTGACAATATGGTGCTTGTGGTTCACTTGCAGGATATAGGTGATGACCCCAATGCTCCACATGTCGGCTTCTAATCCCAGTGGCTCATAGTTGACAATCTCCGGTGCTTGAAAGGCAAATAGATAAGAGGAAGAATGCAGTTTTATGTCATTTTTTGACTGTCAGGTGTCCGGTGAGTGATGCTTGATGGCATTTCTTGGTTGAGTTTGTTTAAAAACATTGTCTTACCTACAAACTCAGGTGTTCCAAATATGTTTTTGAACTCAACCCCGGCTTCAATCTTGTGGGCGAGACCAAAATCTATGAGTTTTATTCTTGGTAACGGCACATTCTTGTCCAGCAGCATAATGTTTTCTGGCTGCAGGTATGAGAGAGAAAGGTATTTATTTGACATAATACACATTTTATCCTCATCAAAAATCAGGAAAAAATAGACAAGCAGGAAATATCTAAGTTAGTATGCAAATGTAGCAATTTATACTTTCTACATTAAGCAGACCTTATTGCTCCACCTAGTGGAACAAATATGTGTCCTGTAATTTACTAAAGTGACAAGGTCATCCTCCTTGTTAGACATCCACTTGGACAGCAGCAGTAAAAACATCCAAACATTTTCGCTCCTTCACATTCGCTGGAGTTTAAAGTTATATTTTTACCTGGGAAACAGGAGATAATGATCTTACAGAGGTCGATTTAGTATCTGTTCTGGTGCTTTTGATCATATCACATTTTAGTTTAGTTAGGTTTTTATTAATGTATAAAGCCATTTTAGGTAAGCTTCCACTCTACATATGTGTCAGATTTGCTCCAGTTTGCGACTCTTACAACCTCAGATCCAGTGCCTGGATACGGTTCCAGGTTCCTACTGTACGGACTGAGGCTGGAAAAAGGAGTCTTTCTTATTATGGTCCTTGGTCTTGGAATGACCTTCAATCAAGCCTAAAACTGATGGCACTTGTCTCTATAGCATGTTTTAAATTGAAGTTGTCTGAAGTCCTCACCACCAGCTGCTCTTGCAGTAACAAGTAGTGTACCTTTCTTACTGTCCTAATGTGCACAATGTAGTGACTGCTTTTTCGTCTTTTGTTTTCTTAGTTATGCTCTCTGTATTTTATATGTTTGTGTAAATGTGTTATGTGTAACGTTGCTGCCTCCTTGGCCAGGTCAGCATTGAAAATGAGATTTTATCTCAATGTTTTTATCTGGTTAAATAAAGGTTAAATAAAAAAAATAAAAATTAGTCTTCGTCAAGTGAAGTTTAGATTCATCTATCTTAATTCTGACAAGTGAAACAAAATGTGAAGGAAAAGGTGCCCAAAAACATTTAATGAAACATTGTATTGATTTAATGTTCAATAGTATGTAAAAATCATATTAGTAATAATATTTAAAATACTCTTTTGGTTTTTGATTAATAAATGTATTTGAATACTGGGTTTCTTTTGCCCTATATTTATAATGCTTTTAATTGTTGTTGTCAAGCATTTTAAGTTGCCTTGCACATTGTGAAATTTGCTGTAAAAATGAACCTTCCTTGTTTTGCCTAACAAAATATGCTGAATCATTATGAGCAGTATCCTTTAGTTAGAAAACAAGCTTTTGCCGCTTTGATGAAATGTCACAGCTAAGCTGAATGAGGTCGATTGAGAGTGAATCTGAAACTTGAAAATGTGACCTCTTCTATAACGGGAAAACCGTGTAACGTGTCTTGTCTGGACAAACCTTAAGATCAAAGTGAGCGATTTCCCTTGCATGGAGGTAGTTCACCCCCTCCAGGATCTGCTTGATGAACTGAGTGGCTTCTTCCTCGCTCAAAGACTCCTTCTGTGCCAGGAAGTCAAAGAGCTCTCCTCCAGAGACCCTGCAACAGCCAATAGGTATGTTTGTTGACCCAAGGCTGTCTAATAACATTTAAAATAAAGTTTTGAACCCTGTTCTAAATCACAGCGTGTGGTTGTGTTGACTGACCTACCCGTTTGATATGAGCCAAAGACCCTTTATATATTATGATTAACAGCAACATGCTTTATAACAGTACTATGAATACATTTGTGACTTCAAATAAACTGATCCCCCTCACTCACAGCTCCAGGATGAGCACCACATCAGTGCGGTTCTCGTAGACGTCGTGCAGCGTGACTATGTTTGGGTGCTGAATCTGCTGCAGGATGTCCACTTCCCGCTCTATCTCCTCCCGCCGCACTCCTCGAGAGCTGGCCATGCTCTGCCGCTTCTTGATAAACTTGGCGGCGAATTCCAGCCCTGTGCTTTTCTCTCTGCATTGCTTTACAATGGCAAACTGCCCACTGAAACACAGAGCAGGCATTACATGGGGTTACATCTGAAAAACTATGAGTGGCTTGACCAAATTGATTGTCGCCTGGATAATCACAGATATATTTGTTACCATATTGGTTCTTGAAATGTTTGAGGTCATTTACAAATCATCATTAGTTTATTTGTCCAGCAGATAGCACTGAGCATGTTACATCCCTAACCCTAACCTTGTCCTGTCACTGTTTTGGGGCCATCACCTCATTTGGAAGATGCTTCACATCAATGTACTCTAATCGCTTAAGTCTTCTATGTGGCTTACCTCAATATATATTGTTACAACCATTTTCGTGATTAATCAAGTAATCACATAGCCTATAACATCACACAATTGTTCAGTTCTTTGATTGAGTGAGAAGTATCAAACCTATCTTTTTACAGGCAAATTGATCCTATTCAGGTTCTTCTCCCCATTAAACACACCTTCAAGATTCATACAGTTAGTCTGTCTTGAGGTAGGAGGCTAAACTAAAAACTGTTCAATAAATAACAGTTAAAGAGTCATGGAATACTGATAGGCCCAATGAGGACGGATAACTCATTTGGAAATATTTACAAGTTAAAAAGATTGGCCTGATGCCTGCACTTCAATGAGAGGAGAACAAATCTAACTTTAAAAATAAATATCTCAAAAAAGCCTGTACATGTAGGGATAGTTATACATTCATATAAGTTATTAAATAACAAGTTATTTTAATCGTGTTAGTTACTGAAAGCTTACTAAGTATTAGGCACCCCACAATAACACATGCTACAGAACTCTGGTGGGATTGTGGTTTATTTTTGTCACTTGTATTTTCCCACCACTGCAGTTTATTTATAGTGTCGAACACAGTCTGCTATGCCCCAAAGCGATAAACTGGTCTCGATATTTACTCTAATACAAACACTTCTGTTAAATACAGGGTTTTGTGTCTTTCAGTAATTGAAATGCAAATGTCACAGGACTGTACAGCTGCATACTTTTAGTTCTGGTTCACTTGAATGGTTTGTAATCTAACACTCCACTTCCTCATCGGCAGTCTGGGAGTAGATATAGCTGCGGCTAAAGATAGAAGTGTCCTTTAAAAAGCAGCTTGACATGCATAACAGTTGTCCCCACCTGACAACGCACAGAAACAAACTACACAACTAGACCAGGGGTCTTTTAGTGTAATTTGAAACACTTGTGTTGTGCAGGAGGCTTAGGCACACACAGTTTGACTCCTGTTATTTGCAGTATGCAGTTAATGATTCAGTGTGATTTTCGTATTGTTATAGCAAAGCAATAACTGCTTGGGGCCGTGACCTACATGCTTTTGAGAAAAGGCAACTTCTGTGTGCAAATGTTTCAGTCTGAGTGATGTTTTATTTTGAAAGGTATATAGCATTCTACAACCAAATGAACCAACAAAACTTTCATAATAAACACGAAGTTGTTTCGGGTATATTCATATTACGGATGTCTAACCAATTATGTACAATATTGGAATATTGTGGTAGTTATGTGAAGAAATAACAACTACATTTCCAAATATTTTCATCTAATTTTGTGCTGTATGCCTTAAAACAAAATAAGACAAATTAAACAATTTAGATTTTGCATAGATCATCATTTTATATCAGTGATCCTGGCTGACTCTGAAATTAAAGAATATATACATAGATTGTAACATGTATAGAGTTGAAATATGGACCGATGTTGTAGCTCAGTTTCTTGATATGAAGTCATTTCCTGGCATGTACGATACTGTTCGAAGTGTTTGCATTACGCTACATCCCAGCATTATTGATTAAATCAAATGCAAGATGCAATTATTAAAAAATTAAGAAGTGAACGAGTAGATATGATGCATGCATAAGTGTACCTTCCCAACTCTTCACCAATTTCATAGAAATCCTCCACTTTCTGTTGTTTGAATAAGTCCATAGCTGCAGTCCTCACTGATGTCTGTAGTTAGGATAATACATTTTCTTCATTACTCTTTAGGCCTACCTGAAATATCAGACAACAGTTGTTTCACCATCTGGAATAAAAATGTCCCAAATATCATGAAAAATGAATGAGACGATTTAAAAACATATCCTGTTATACAAAAATAATGTCATGCAGTTCAAATGTAGACGCCCACTGACAGTTTGGCTTACTTGACTTTGTCTGGAGAAGGACACTATAATTGTAACTATCACAAGTCATCAAAAATAATAGGACAACAAATACAAATAATCAATGAATAGCTTAGAAAATACATTACCATGTAGAAAAAATGATTCACGTGTTGATCCCCCTGTCCTCCTGCTGCCCTGTGTGCGTCTCTAACGCTGAGCACACGAGGACTCTGCGACGTCCCAACAACACATCCCGCCCCCCAGCCTGGGGAGAGAGTCACACTGCACTTCAGTGTGAAAACGAAACATTTCGTGGTAATACTTTTAACTGAGAAGCTAAAATATGTCGCGTTTTGTTAACCCTTATGTGGTGTTCATATTTTTGTTATTCAGCCAGGCAGCCAATAGTATGAAGCTGCAGCCTCGGAGGAGGGTGCACTCTCAGGACCGCATGCACTCTCAGGACCGCATGCACTCTCAGGACCCTAGTTGTTTTGCAACATCGCCACCTAGCGGATTGGATGATCGCAAAAGTACAACCAGCGAGTATTGAGTCTCATACACTGCGAGTCTCTTTAGACATTGTAATGCTTGTTATTAACCATCTAAAAATGCATGAAAATATGTTTTTCTTACTGAAATTACATTATTATTATTAACAACAAGTTGTTAATATGTTTTTGATTTTTAATAACAAATGTATTTTGTATGTCAGATGTAAAAAGATAGTCTTTTATATTTGTCTTTATCAAATTTGACATACAACATAAATATATATATATATATATATATATATTGTAGTAATAATGATATAATCTATTTATAATTGTAAATGTATATTGTATGCAGACATACATTTAGATGTATATTTTGTTAAAAGAAAACAAAACTGTTAATTTAGTTTTTGGGAGAAGGGGTGGGGTTAAATAAGTGTAAACTCCTTTGAATCAATTTGATACTGCTTATGTTTCTACAGTATCATAATTCTCTTGTTTCATTTCATTATTATATATATTTTTTTTATTGTATTACACGTTCGAAATAAATCAAATCAAATGTGTCTTTGAAGAGGTGCTAGATTACTCAAAAACAACTGTTAGTGTGTTTATGCACCAGGCTGCAAAAGATAAACATGCAATTTGACGAGAGGAATTTCAGTGCAGAATACATTTTTATTTATTGGGCACTGTGGATTCTTCACTGGGGTGAGGCGGGGTCTGCTGTTCCCTCAACCACCAGACAACAGCTCCAGCTGCAGTACCCCGGGAAGCCCTCTTCTGAGTAAAAACCCTGCAACACTCCTCGCCGTCCACTTCCCCGGTAGCCTGTGCCAACGTCCTTATAAAGGTTGTCGCAGTAAAAGCACCTGGAAATTTGGTATTCCTTCCGAAATTCCCTTTTGTGTCCCTCTGAGAAGACATTCCAGTTGACGACACCTGAAGTAGAATGTCATAAGAAAATTACAATTCAGACAGAAAAACAACAAAACCTTCCTTAATTTAGCTGACCTTCCAATTGAATACACCAGAATAGTTGTTAACTTTAAACAAACAACATGATTCACATTACTCACACTCTTACTGTAATTAGTGATTAAATCAACAATTAATGTAGGACACCTAGTTGGGCTTGCCAAAATCACGCTACAGTTTCATTAAACAAATAATCAAATATGCTAATGAAGCTAATGCTATTAGCATTAGTTTTTGCCGAAAGCTATAGCTAACAAATAATTGTTTTTAGTGCCTTTAATACTGTTAGAAGCTATCATAAGCTAACAGATGTTTGTTTGTATTGCCTTAAGACTATCATAGTTAATGTTAGCTAATCACACTTCATTTCAAGACACCGGAATTGTTATTAATGTTAAACAAATAAAACTTTAAAAGCACTTCACACTACTCACACTCTCTGCGTTGTCGTTCATATTCATGTATCCTGCTCACTAGGTGGCGATGTTGCAAAACAACTAGGGTCCTGAGAGTGCATGCGGTCCTGAGAGTGCATGCGGTCCTGAGAGTGCACCCTCCTCCGAGGCTGCAGCTTCATACTACTCCAGGCAGCGGGTCTGGTGGACCCGCTGCCTTTTTGGGTTTCAATTCAACACAATCAAACTATTTTATGTTAAAATACTCAACAGATGTTTACTTCATCATAATTACAAGCAATATAAACAGCATATATGGTTCATATTTGCCCTTTTACATTTGTTAGATCACATTAATGAATTAAAGTGCTACTCGTTTTTTTGCCCGCTGACCGGCTGGTCCTGTGGCTCGTCTTTTCTTTGTAACTAGCTGATGCTCAATCTCATTCTCTTCTTCAAAGTCACTGTCAGACTCAGAATTCTCAGAAACGTGATCCTCACATTCTGAAACCTCTTCCTCTTCATCTTCATCTACATCAGCATCAAATGGTTCACTCTCTTCCAAAATCATTTGCAAGGCCCTCTGAGCAGAGAATTCCAGTAGGGCCTGGCTCATTTCGTGGCATCTGCAGGCAGTGGCAAGTACTTCCGGCATCTGCCACAGAGGCCGCTACTCCGTGGTATCTGTGGCAAGTACTTCCGGCATATGCCATTGCCACAGATGCCACAACTTGCCACAACATGCCACAACTTGCCACAGATGCCACAACTTGCCACAGATGCCACAACTTGCCGAGGCATCTGCCGCTGCTGAACGGGAGTTGCCACAAGATGCCAGAGTAAGAGAAGGTTTACGGTAGCTGCCACTCGCCTTCCGTGGCAAATGCTGCTGTTTAAACCCGTATTTATCGTGTAAAATGTCGCTGTTTAGGCATGACTTTATCGAACTGATCTGTACACAGGACTGATGTGCGATCTCTATTTTTCAAAAAGATTAAACATAATTTCTATTAGATTTTACTTGGAGAACGTGGTTTGTTAAAATAAATAAACGTGCTATTTTTATGATAATACTCAAGATATATTATAAGTTAATAAAGACAATTTATTGACATTAAGATCTATCATTGTTGACCAGAGGTGGGAAATAGGCTAACTAAGTATATATACTCAAGTACTGTACACTGTGGACCTCTGTGTCGCCTGTCAGCGCAGCTTACATGATGCCGTTTAAAATATAATATAAATATAATAACATAGGGCGGTGTCGGCCGTCAGCGAACCGATCCGGCCTTTCTGCGCGACTGTCACTCAAATGCGGGACATAGTCTTAATTTCGTGGTACTCGGGACCAGGGCTGGACTGGCCATCTGGCATACCGGGCATTTTCCCGGTGGGCCGACGTGCCTTTTGGGCCGACACGTAATTTTTTTTTTTTTTCTGAAGTCCCGGCCCATAAAACGGGTAGATTGGCCCTCTGTTTAAATGTTTTTAGTAATTGACACTGGGCCGGCCCAATCAAATCTTTAATCACCTCCCCCTTTGGGCCGCTCGGTGAGCATCATCAAATCACGCCCCCAGGAGGTGAGCCGGCCGTTGAAGCCAAACTGCCTTTTTTTTTCGAGATATTGGTGGTGAGGAAGATGATGAGAGGGAGAGAGATCAGCGCGAGTGGGGAGAGGGAGGAGAACTCGCGGTAAGCAGAAGCTAAGAAAATTAGGAAAAGATTATTATTAAGGTTATGATACTCTGTAGTTCTGGAACCCATTAATATCCCCTTGATGAAGCACTAATAAGACAAATATTATAAGAGAAACATTCGCTAGCCTACAAGCTAGTAAGCTGGCTTTTTTAGGTTTTCCCTGGCAAGTTAAAATATAGCTTAATGGGACTCTGATACGTTGTCTCATTGAAAGAATGTCATTATTTTGTTAACCACCATTCATGAACAATTACTGTCAGCTGGCAGCTTGTTTTGTTTAGTTTATTTACTTATGTGGTTATAAGGGCAACAGTGGTCTTTTGGGACCTGAAAAAAATGTTTATAGTCAGCTTTTTGTGGTAGTTTTGATTGACAATATATAGAATGAATAATATAGAAATAGAAAAAAAAATTGAGGCACACATGTAGTTTTGACCATTAACTGTGTGGTATTGTTATGTCAATGCCTATTTGTATGGACCTCTATCAGGGACCAAAGAGGTCACCTGCATCCTTTTTGACTCTCCCAAAGCCCCCCAACGACACACACACACACACACACACACACTCACACATGCAAACACACACACACACACACACACACACACACACACATACACACACACACACACACACACACACACACACACACACACATACACACACACACACAAACTCCCACCCCGAGGAATGGACGCTGGACATAGTGCCCCTCTCCACAACAAGTATTCATTTTAGTTATTTCAGTCTAGTATATAAGTTACTTTGTGTGTACAGTATATATATACAGTATATATCTTGCTAGTTGTGTACTTTTGTAATTTATGTGGGATTTCTGTCAAATGTTGCTTCAACTCTCTTTGTACATTTAAATCTCTCTTTCAAACCTATTCTCAGGAAAAAAAATAAAGACAGTGGATAGTATTTTTGGTTAAGCCTGTGTTCCTTCAGTTCTGTGTGCTCTGTGAGGTTCTGAGAAACCAGCCGCCTAAGACTTGCACTATAGCCCCTTGCGTGCGTCAATCAATCAATCACATTTTATTTATATAGCCCAATATCACAAATTACAATTAGTCTCAGAGGGCTTCACAGTGTGTACAGGTACGACATCCTCTGTCCTTAGACCCTTGCAGCGCTCAAGGAAAAACTCCCCAAAACAGACCCCACAATTAACAGTGGAAAGTAGGAAGAAACCTCTGTGAGAGCAACAGAAGAGGGATCCCTCTCCCAGGACGGACAGACGTGCAATAGGTGTCGTGTGTACAGATGAAAAAGGCAATACAATTACAGCGATTAAAAAAAGGATGGAAAAATTAAATGAAAGCGTCAATGTATATAAAAAATATGCCGTCGACTCATCCTGTAGACTCATCTGGTCCTATCTCTATTGTGTTGTCATAGAAAGGGGAGGCAGGGCACTATAGGGTCGTCCCCCCCTAAATTCACTAGAAGTCATCATTTAAGGGGTTATTTTAAAAACTTTTCTTCTGGGGGGGGCATACCCCACCAGACCCCCCTATTAGTGCTCGGTCACTGTTCGCTTTGTGAGAGGGTTTGAAGGTCTAATTTCTAATGATTGATAGTTACACATACTTGTGGTATGTATTAGTTTTGTTTGCCCCTGGTACG